TTTTGGAGGAGGAAGGAAAAAAAAAAAAAAAGAGTAAAGGTAGATGTTACTAAAGAAGCTGCAACAGCCCCTCTGCCACGTAACAGCAGTAGGCTCTGAAGCCAGAAGCTTCAGCAGTCCAATACAGTCTGAGCTACGTGATTAGCTGAACAAATCAGCAGGAGGAGGAGGATTTATTCAGCGCAGAAAAGCGGAGAGCTGCAGAGAATTTCAGAGCGAGGAGCACAGCGTTCCAGGACACGCTCCAGCGGTTAAACACAACGTCTTGGCTCAGAATATGCACGCTGGGCGTCTCAACCCGCACGCAAGTCACTCAAGCATTTCCAGTTAGAAATAGGAAAAACAGGCTCTCTATCAAGTTCTCAGTCTACATACAACACAAACAACTGTATTTAAAACTTTGCCCTGATAATTCTCAGGAAAACACAACACTCATTTGAGATAACGAAAAACGTTGCAGGCTAAGCGCTACGTTCCTGAAAAAACTAGGCACGTACTGAACATAAACACGTCTTCTCTGTTTGTTGAGCCCCTTTACATTTTGTTACTACAGTGCGGGCATATTTAACAGTGCTAATTTATCTGTAATTCTTTTGCAAGAGCAATTTCAAAATGAAGGTTTGAAATAGTACCTAAAGAAGAATTAAGACTGTAAGAAACTTATTTCATTGAGAAGGGAGAAAAAGGGAAAGCCAGTAAGTTATGTTACCAAACATTAAGTGCTTTTTCAGTTAGCTTAGAGACACTCAGACATTCCTGGAGTTAATGTCAAGGCAGCGATACAACTACCTCTCACATGAGTAAGTCCTCGCGACCCAGCTAATTACATGTAACAGCAAGCATTAACAAATGCAAGACTAAGTAAGGGGGAGAAGAGGACGAAAGAGCAGACGGATTCCTTGGGAAAGAAGAGACAGAGATGAAATAAATACTTTAGTGAACAGAGTCTTTAAACCACCATATAAAAATCAATCAATCCTTACGATGAAACTCAGTTTCATTTGTAAGAGCAACTCCAGCCTTGCACCCTTTTTAAGGTCCAACTGGGGCTTAGCTGTCATTCCAAGCCAGGTTTACATCTCAAAAACCAATAAGAAAATTGGTACTTTAGTAAGGGCCTGACAAAATTGTGCATCTTCACATGTATTAGCCATTTCCTTTGGCCTTCCCTAGTTCAAATCCCCGTAGCTCAACCACGTCGTTTGTGCAGAGATATCCCGGCTTGAAAGAAAGAAAGAAATTTTTAAAATGAATGAAACACTTCACAAATCCAGTTTCCAGCACGGTAACAGGGTTAAGTTTGCGCAACAAGAAGAGACAAAGAAGGAAAGAGACATCGGCAACAACAATCTCACGCTACGTTTGCTAGAAGGAACCCAAAGGCGGAAGCGCACGCTTAGCAGGAGAAGAACAGACACATCCTGAAACTACTGGTCATTAAACCAAACTGACAAATTTCACGCTGTCGGTGCTCGCCCACGTATGTCAAGAAGCCAGATCCAGAATTTCCTCCCCACCCGTAGCAGCAAGGACACGGCCATCTCAAGGGCTCCACGCGTGGCCCAGGCGCCAGCTGCAGCCGGCACTGGTTTCAGGGCACCCCGCTGAAGTCAAGGCATCCGGTCCACTGCAGCCATCGCCCCTCTGAGGGTCTGCAGCTCCAAGCAGCGAGACCCATCCTACCGGATCGCTAACGTGTCTCCTTATAAACCTCAGCGCTTAATCTCAGAGTCCTATGTTTTAACAGTAGTTGAGAAAACTCACGGGAAAGTTAAAGTTATTGAAACTTGATTAGCACAGAAGCAATTTAGTAACAAAATATTTTCTTCGAAATTAACAGGAATGCTTTTAAAACTACTGAAGCATGGTATTTGAGAAGCAGATCATCTTTAAGCACAAACTATCCCATTAAAGTCACCTAAAAGATATCTATTTGCTTAATGTTTCAAAGAGTATATTTATCCACACTTAGCCTTCTGCCTACTGCTTGCAATTTTGTAAAAAATCGAAAGATATTCACAATTTCAAATTACAGAAAAATTGTGATTTAAAAAAATAATTTAGTATTTCCTTTCTTTTATCACAACTTCTGGTTTTTTTCCTTTAAATTCACATGAGGAACTGCTTTTTAAAAAAAGAAACTAATTAAAAAAAACAAAGTACGTACAACTTCTTTTGGAATCCTAGACCTGTCCCAGAAACTTTGATTCTCACATCTCAAAAACACCTGAAGCCAGGCTTCTTAGCTATTATCACACATGGAAAAGGTTCCTTAAAAGCGTGTTGTCGAGTGCACTACAAACTGTCCGTGCCAGGCCATCAATTTTCCAATGCCGTGACAAGTTTATAACACTGTGCCCAAAACAAATTGAAGCAAGAAACCAAGAGAGCAGCTCTCCAAGCAAGACATTCAGTCACTGTCTGAGCGCTCTACGCTCACGTGCTGGGAAGGTGCATTTTGTTTTGATTTTTTCATAAAAAGCTCCACTAAGCACCTCTGCACATCACACGCTGCATAAAAAGGAAAAAATAGCAACACCTCGGCTTATCACTACCTGCCGTTACCCTGGCAGTAAAAGAGCATCGGTTCCTAACGTTCAGGATTTTAAAATATGTCAAAAAATTCTAAAATTCAACATTTATCAACCTGTTACAGTTCTACGCAAGATTCAGTGTAGGCAGGTTGCTCAGCATTGTGTGTCCGCTGTTAGGGAAAATACTGCAATTAAAAGCACCTAAAAGCTCTGAAACATGTATCCATTCACGCTAATGAATAGGCAGCAGCCAAAAGGTGCAAGTTACACTTGACAATATTCTCTTTTAAAGAAATTAAGCGCACCTCAGTACGACATTCACGCATGCCATAAAAATTCAGCATTGATCAATGAAGACCAGAAGCATTCGTCCCCCATTGGTATCTTCAGGGCAAGGAGAGGGACCCCGCTAAGCTAACTACCCCCACAAGTAAGGCCTGAAAGCTTCCAGTTTAAGCACAAAGAAGGGCAAAAGGAAATATTAAAAAAAAAAAAACCCTGATAAAACTGCGATTCAAATGAGGTCAAGAAAAACTATATTCAAGTTGAAACAGACCTCAAAGTCTTCCTTCCCTCATTCCAGAGCCTTAGCAATCAAAAAGAGCTTTTTTCTCCTCAAAGGATTAAACCGAGTATAGAGCCTTGCCCGAGCTCTTGGTGCTGAGCTGAGCCTGCAAACGCCCGGTGCACGCCAGCCTTTCGACGAACGTTTGAGCCGCAGAACAGCTCACGTGCGCTGCAGCCAGAGGATGCTCTCGCGCAGGGTGTAACGGAGGATCTGCCCAGCTTGCTAAGCAGCAGCCGTTTAATCTATATTTGTTTATGGCTCTCTCCTGTAAGTTAGGATTTTGGGGTTTTTTTGAAAGCAAAACTTACTACAAATGGTTTTTACGGTAAAAAGCTCTTGGAAATCCCACCCTTTCAAAAAAAAAAAAAAAAAACTCACTTAAAATAGTATTTTCCATATTGATGCAGGAAAAAATGAACTGGAGATTCTGAAAGGCATTTTGGATTATCTTCATTTTTAGCCCTATTAACTTTAGGCAATGACCACATGGACCAGAGGGGTAACAGCAACTGACGCTGTGAATGACTGCATGTAGGAAGCGGCAGAATTAAACACGAGAACAGCAATGCAAGAAGGTGCTAATTGCCCGAGATAAAAATTTTAGGATTGCTTTTACTGTCATCATTGTCAAGAAATTTAGGAGTATCTTCCGTTCAGAGAGGCTCTGAATGCCACTCTTATACGATCAAAAACTCATTTATTTCTGACATTTCTGATCTCTCGCAATGCTCCACGATAACTTAATAGAAACAACATCTGAATACAAATGACAATGCGCTGCAGCTCTGGGCCCTGCTGTTGCACTAGTTAGGAGGAATTCATCACCTTGAGCCACTTATTAAGGGGAAAAAAAAAAAGAAAACCACACCGTTTGGAAGGCTGACACAGAGATCATTAGAGAAACAAAAAATTGCTTCATCAGCTCTTTCTCCTACTTAAATCGCCTTAGTTTACCTTTTTTGTTGTTTTCTGAAGTCTCACTCTTACAAAGTAATTATAAGTCTCTTTCAGATACACAGTTTACAGAAAGATCTCCTACCTCTAAGGACTATAAACTCTTGATACTGCTGAATCCTGAGCTATAAATGAATGATTTTCTGAAAACAAGTCATTTCCTCCAGTCAATTTCTTTATCTCTTTTATCAGTCTTCCACATTCTACTGCTTTCTATTTCCTAAATGAGAAACATTACCAAGTCACAGCTAAAGGTTACCTTACCAAAAAAAAAAAAAGTGACGACCTGTGGGTTTTTTTCTTTTTTTAAATCTGTAAAGAGGGTTGTAAGAGTTTGTAAAGAAAGTTTTAAAGTTTTAGGAGTTGCTCACTATTTTTCAAACATTTTTATTCATACTTTA